ACCTCTGTCAGCTAATGTAACGATTTTCAAATGCTATTGGAGACTCCGAGACACCTGCAGGACCCCCCCCCACCCAAACACAAGTACCTCACTACCTCTCACTAGATCGTGTTGTATACAACGAGGCACTCACAGCTGCTGACTCGCCTTAAAAGTCAACAGAAATTATCGGATAACCGCTGCTTCTTAGATTGTGTCGGTCATGCTTTCCCTTTTGGACTGAATGGAGTTGATTGTGTTTCCACGGGGTTGGCATTGCCCGCTGATTAAATGAGGTTTGACTGACCCTGGTGGAAGGTAAAAGTGCTTAAGTTCCAACAAAAAGAAGGGAATTCGACCGTCGACTTTTATTGAATTGCCTCATATTTGAAACAACCTCAGGTTTGTCGTTGAAGCGAATAATAAAGTTTGAAAAACAGCACTTTGAAGATATTGATGGTGCACAATCACACTGATTGCGGGGTGGGCGGGAGGGGAAAACAGTCCCTCGTCCTCATCCGACTCGATCGGATCCCGCCGCGCTGCTCCGTAATCAAGCGCCGCTTGTGAGCATGATGGATGGCGGATTAAGGCAGGCTGATGGGAGCCCGGCTGCGACGTGATTGGCCGCGTTCGCACATCAGCGGTGGGCCGACCGCGCGTGTAATGTGGACGTCAAGTATGGCGCTTGTCGCACATTGCCCTAACTTCAAATTCTTATTATAAGAAGTATTTTTTCGATACATTTACCTTGTTTCAGGTTATGGGTTATCATGATTGGTGCATGAAATTGAAGTCATGAAAACGTGAATATTGTTAATTTTTGTTAATTGTTAATTTTTTATTTTTTTTTGTCTGATAAGTGGACACGCGATTAACGTAACGATTTAAAAAATGACAAAAATTGGACATGCTTGTTTTTCCACAAGACAGCCATGGTATATTATCGCATGGGGAAAAGATGTAAACTCCACACAGGAAGGCCGGCGCTGGAATCGAACCCGGTACCTTTGCACTGTGCGGTCGACGCGCTAGCCACTCGCCCACCAGGCCGCCCGATGATATATTAAATAATGACAATAATTTGACATATATATTTTACATTTTGCTGTATGCGCATAAAAGATTTGGGGGGAGGGGGCATCATCTCCCAGTTTTAGAAACTTTCACCAGTCGTTAGGAAATGTAATACATCCATATCCAATGGTAATGCACATTAAAAAAAAAGTTTCAGGAACCCACGCCAGAAATCAAACAGGAAGTCTGAATCAGAATCAGCCGTTTTGTCTCAAGGTGGCGAATATTTGACATTTGTGTTTGCTTAGCAAGCCTGCTTTGATCGCCTTTTCCACCAGGAACACATCTTGCCCAAGCCCCGCCCCTACTACCGCGTGGACCAATCGGCCGAGCCCGACGTGTGGCTGGATGCTGTGCAGGTTTGGGAGGTCAAGTGTGCCGACCTGTCGCTGTCGCCCGTGTACAAGGCCGCCATGGGAATGGTCAGTTCACCTCTCGTGCTGTTTCTTCATCATCCTCGTCTTCATTTTCTTCTTCTTGTTCGTCTTCATCCTCTTCCGTCCTCATTCCTTGGCTTTCGTCGTGCTATTTTTTCTCAGTTCTTCTCTTGCCTTTTTGGTTCCTTTTTCTCCTTTTTTTTTTTTTTTTTTTTTTTTGCCAGCCTCATGTTTGTCGTTTGTTTTCTTACCTCCCCCTTCATTCTCAGTGTTAATTTCTACTCCCCTCTTCCCTCCTGTGTCATCACCTGCTTCCAACCCCCCTTTTTCTCCTCCCGTGTTCTCATTCCTTCTTTTCCTTCCTCCCATCTCTTCCTCCTTTTTCTCATTTTCTTCCTCACTCTTCTTCCGCCTTTTCTTCCAACCGCCTCTTCCTCATGCCCCATTTTCCTGACTCTTCATCCCTCCTCATCCCCATCGTCTTTCCTATCTCCTCCTCCTCATTTCCTCTCCTTCCTCCTTGCAGTCTCCTCTTCCTCTTTCCTTCCTCCTCTTTCTCATTCCATTTCCTTATCCCCTTCCTCCACTCTTGTTCCTCCTTCATTTTACTCCTCATTCCTCCACTTTGTCCTTTCCTTCACCCTCATCTTCCTCACTCTTTCCTCTTTTATGCTTTTTCACTCATCCTTCTTTCCCTCCTCACTTCTTCCTCATTCCTCTTCCCCCTCTTCTTGCTCTTCATTTCACCATCCTCCCTCATCTTATACCTCTCCATTTTCCTCAGGTGGATCCAGAGAAAGGAATCTCCCTGCGTTTCCCTCGCTTCCTTCGCATCCGAGACGACAAGAAGCCCGAGGACGCCACGAGCGGCGCTCAGGTGAGCCGCGTGACGGCCGGTCGGTCGCCTTTAGAGAATACGACCAACTCTCTTTGTTTGTGGCCTCCCCCAAAGATCCGACCTGTTAAGTTGCTTTCAACTTCAAGGTTGAATGCAAGTACAAGGGCGAGGCTGCTTTACTACAGGCTGTATAACAGCGGCTTTACTGCTGCCGTCTGCCTAATAAAGTGCACCAGAAGCACAGGGTAATATACGGCACCCTCACATATATTCATTGATAAAGTGTGTACTGGATGCACAGTTTAATGTATGGCGCGCTTACGCGTATGTTCATTAATAAAGCGTCTGCCAGAATCAAAGTCATGTAGAGCACACTTAGGTATTCAGTGGCAGTGTGCGTTTCTCTGGCAAGCCTCTAGGGGGAGCTGTCATAGAGCGGCATGGTCTACATCTCCCTGATATTAAGATGCGAGATTAGAAGAGAGGGATTGAGATCAATAAACAATTTCAGTAAACTTTCAAAGACATTTGGTGTAATCGTTGACTTGGGCTGGGAGGAAAACTGATTGCTGACTGTCCCTGAAGGCGTCGCAAGACATGATGGAGATGGATAGACTTGAAACAATCACTTGCCAGGATAACTGATTTCCCACTGTCCCTGAAGGCAACACAATTTAGGATGGATGGATGGATGGATGGATGGATATTCAACCTTTAAGGGCGTTCGGAATAATCACTTGGTTGTTGTAAACTGCGATTTCAGACTGTCCCCCAAGGCATCATAAGGATGATTGATTGATTGATCGAACAATCATTTACGAGGAAATGTGATTACAAAATCTCCCTGGAGGCAACACGAGACTCAATATGGATTGAAGAAACGATTCAACGGGACATTTGAAGCAATCACTTTGGGGTATAATTCGAGGGAAAGTGTGTGAATTCAGACGGTCCCTGAAGGCAACTTGAGAACCCGGCGAGAGTAGATAGAGGATATATGAATGGATTAATAGATTTCTGGCAGGTTTTATCTGAAGGCAACGGTTGACCTGAGATGGAGTGGTTGATGTATTTATTTTCAAGACAATTCTTTGATTTCAGACTGTCGTTTAAGGCCACACCAGACTTGATTAGGATAGATTGGCATTTCCAACTGAGACATTTGGAACAATCACTTCATTGGGTGAGGGGCGCTGTGATTTCAAGCTGTTCCTGTAAGCAACGCTAGACTTGACGCGGATGGATCGTGATTCACTGAACGTTTCTAACACTCGTTTCTTGAAGAATGCTGTTATTTCAGACTGTCGTTAAAGGCACCGTGAGACTTGAGGAGTGCTCGACAATATCGGTAAGCAATTAAGGACATTTGGAGCAACTCAGTTGTGAGGACGAGTGTATATCAGTCAGTCCCTGAAGGCAACTCCTGTGAAGAAGAGGTAGAAGTCGACATTAGAAACATTTAAAGACATTTGGAACAATCTCTTGGTGGTTGCACAAGACAAACAATCGCCTGTTTGTGATTTCGGAATGTCTGTGAATGCAACACTGGACTTGGTTAGTGCAGCGGTAGATTTTACCTTGTTTGTTTTGTCAGGAATACTGTGATTTCAGACTGTCCCTGAAGGCAACAGTTGACTTTATTTGGATGGATCGAGTGACAGATAGACTAAGATAGCATTTAATGACGTTTAATACAAAATCCCCCGGATTGCTGTTTGGCAAGCGCTATGATTTCACATTTCTCCCAAAGGCAACGCCAGACTTGATTAGTTTTTCTTTCAGTGCTTATGTTGTATGTCAGGAAGAATGTTATTGATTCCAAAGGATATTGGACTTATCCTCCTCTTCGTCCCTCAAGATCGCCGACCTGTACAAGAAGCAGCAGCAGATCCTGAATCAGGGAGACAAAGCCGACACGGAGGACTACTTTTGACCTGACCACGATGCCAATAAATCATCATCAATCACTGATATCATTGATATCAGCCTGAATGTAAATAAATGTATTTTTGTCAACTTGAATGGAAATAAAAGGTCCTTTTACACATCCTAAGAGAGAGTGTGTATGCGAGTCTGTGTGTGTGAATTGTGCGTGCAAATGTTTCTCCATTTGTGTATGTCAGTGTATGTGTGACTGAAATTCCTAAATGTCCTCCTCCTCCCTATCGTGGCTGTTGTTGTGCTGAATGGAAATCAAGCAGGCAGCGGAGCAGAAAATATTGAAAATGCAAATATGGAATTGAGGTGTGCTCAAAAGTCTGGGTGCTATCGGACTGCGCTGTGCACTGGCCCAAACTGTTCCAGTGCTCACATTGAAAACAAAAGACATAAAAAGTAAGAATACTGAGATGATGACGGTAAATGGGCTGTCACTTGTAAAGCGCTTTTCTACCTCTGGTACTCAAAAGCGCTTCACACTGTTACCTCATTCATCTACTGATGATGCAGCATCAGGTTCAGTATCTTGCTCAAGGACACTTCGATATGGTCGCGATGGCCGGGGATCGAAACTGCTATTGCTGACCGACATTTGAATTTTGGCCTGTTTTACTGCCTCTTCACCTCCTGGACTTGGCCTGGCTTGAATCCAAGGTGTGTCAAGGCCTACTTGAATGAGTTAGTCAGAGGGCTGGACGGTCAGCTTGCATCAGGCCTGCGCAGGTCTTCCTACGAGACCTTTGTGTCCTCTGTTCTTGTTGATTTCCTGTAGGTGGACGTCGTCCCAACACTTTTGTCCGTCATGGTGTCTGTGTCTTCGCCTCCCAATGGCCTCTTTGTCCACTGCGGTAACAAAAGCTTTGTTCTCCGCCGCCTCCTCGTCCTTCCATCCGTCCATCCCGCCTCATCCGTGGTAACAAAGGCTTTGTTCTCCACCTCCTCATCCGTCCATTCCTCCTCATCCCTCCATCTTGGCGCTGGCTGTGACATCGCTGCCATTCCAGGCCGTGAGGGAGAGAGCGGGTGGCACACACGCCGCCATTGTCCCGAGCCAAAGCCCTCAGAATATCAATAGTGTTTTTCTTCACGGCGTTGGCCACTAACCTTTAGGATCTCATTATGTTCGGCACCCCCCCTTTTTTTTTTCTCTTTCTGCACGAGCTTTTCTGCTCGCTGAAGTCAGGAAGCCTCACCCGCTGCAAACCGTTCGTTACACATTGGGGGGAAAAAAAAGCTACATTGACGAAGGGTGTCAATTTGAGGCCAGCTGCCAGTTTGCAATTGGCCTGCCGCATCCCCTTATACTCCCGCATCAAAAGGCTCCGGGAAAAAGTCGAAACGTTGAAAGAGAGGATGTTCTCAGAGGGGCCACTGACCTTCGAGTGTCAATGTCAGGTGATAACAGAGAGACTGGACGACTCACAGAAAGGCACAGAAGAACTCTAGAACATTTTCATGGATCAAACGGCGCTTGTTAGAGGACAGCAAGTTATGCAGGGTGATCAGGCTGCCGCCGATGCCGAGTGGGCAACATTTATCACATCGTATGCTGCTGTACAGTGTTAGTTAAAACCACAGGGAGTAGTCCATTGAATGAAATGACGCGCTGCAGGTAGATAGATGCCTTCGGGGAGTTTGTTCAATGCAGTGCTTACAGCAACAGCCTCAATTTTGACGTCGCCACCAAACCGCCTCCGATGCAAAGGGGGGGAAACAGCAGTAAAACAGGCCAAAATGCAGATGTCAGGATCTAAGACGGGGCTAGAGACAATTTGCATCCTAAAGCATTTACGGTACCCGAAAGTAACTTGTAAATTACTGAGACGAGGATAGAGGTAGTCTGCTTCGAGTTCCGTAACACGCAATCGCCTTTGAGACTTTCAATTTTTCCCCACTGTACAGTAATGACACTTTATAAAATCCAATTAATCATTTGCATCCTCCTTTGTGGCTTTGATTTTTATTTTTTTTTTATCATCATGCATTTACACAATACTGAGGTAGTCTCAGCTTGTCCTGGATCAGTCTACATTGTATAATGATGTCAATGTCACGAGAGGACAATGAGGCCTTTCTTCTGCATGCGATGCAGCTTCTGGAGTGCTGGCACCAAATTCTGGAGCAGCCCCCCCATATAGTCGTCCTCAGACCCCTACAGACCTCCACCAAACTGCCACATTTCTTGCCTCTATTTTGACCTGTGATGTGGCAGATGGTTCGTTTGGTCGTGTGGTGACGTTGGCCGACTCTATTAGGAGAGGTGGTAATTTGTCACCAGTGGACGAAATGTCTACCGCCGGCCCCCCTCCCAAGATCCCTGAGCATGCAGGAGGTGCCAGGGAGAGCATGATGATCAAGACCTACGTGTCTTTCTTGTCCTCCAACATCATCGCTCATGCCTACCCTCAGGTGTTTACATGCTGACTAATGACTGCTAAGAACTTTCCAAACCCTTTTAGTTTGAACGCTACTCCTTCCAAATGATTATATGCAGCTCTGGGAATATTTTGTGAGAAAAAATGCATCCAATTCTGCAATGTGTGCTCCACATGCTGGCAGTTTTTAACTTCTGTTGAACCCAGCAGGACAGGCCACATCCATGCTTTGAATTGAAGGAAACATCAAGTGTCCCAAGATGTCGATCTGTTCAGGGTGGTCCGACCTGGGCTCGGTTCACTAACTGGACCAGCTCAGACATCTCTGGAGGGCTCGCAATGAGGCTGCAGCACCACGTATACTCCTGTAGTAGTCTTTATTGAACCACAAAGAACATGGTGAGATTGTCAGGGAAGAAGTGGATTGCTCTGGCTGTTGTAGCTCTATCAGGATAACACAAAAGTGAGGAAATGGGTGAGATCTGGACATTTCGGATGTTGTTGGCTTCATGAGTGCGGACATTTACTGTACGTGTTTGGGGACACGCGAACAAGATGTCAGAGGTGCTCGTCCCTCTGCCCGTGTTGTCCTTCATTTGTCTCTGTTCCAGTTGTCCTGGCCTCAACTTTCTGGCCTGGCAGCGGCGGCGACACGTTCCGGCGTGGGGGCGCTCAATGCGTGCCTTTGTGCGTCCCAACGGGGCGGGAGAAAGCGCCATTGAGGCCTTGGGCCCGGGCCCCGTCCCCCTCGTGCTCCATTGTGTCAGCAGGAATCTGGCGGGAGGGACTCCAAAGACTTTACGGCCTTTGTTCTAACTTCTGAGCGGACTGGACCGCCGTGACCCAGACCTAAATGCCCTACCGCCACACTTCGTGCCCATAAAAATACCAACAGAAATCGTGGATCAGTTGAGCCACTGAGAACTGGAGTACCTCCTTTGTGGATAAAAATGAAAGCAATATGATGATCAAATTTGATCCAAGTTCAAAATCATTGTCTTTTTTCAAAATTCTTCATCAATGTGTCTTTTTTTTGTATTTCTTTAATTCATCATAAAATCACAGGACCATACAGACAAAAAAAAGGTCTGATCAATTTTGAGTACAGGGAGGTCTTGAAAGGCCTTTATTGGCTGAGAGTGGTTCGAGCTGGTCTAAAGTGGAGCAAGGTGGTCTAAGGTGGTAGTTCTAGATGGTCTAGAAGGGCGAAGGGTACTCCAGAGTTGGTCCAAAGTAGGTGAGAATTGTCTTGACTGGTTTGAAGTTGTCCATTGTAGTCTTGAGTTGTTCAACGTGGTCTATGGTGTACTTAGGTTGGTACAAGGTAGTTTCAAGTCGTCTAAGATTGGTCCATGGTTGTCTGGAGATGGTCCAAGTTGGACTATAATGGTCTGAGGTTGGTTCGTGGCAATTTCAAGTTGTCCAAGATGTTTCCGAGTGGCCCAAGTCTGTGGAGGTTTGGTCTAAGGTGGTCTAGAGTCATCCAAGTTGATCTCAGGTGACCCAAGGTGGTATTGAGTGATTCAGAGGATTCCCGAGTTGGTCCAAATTTGTCCAAAGCCATCTCGAGTCATCTAAGGTTGGACCAACTTGGCCTAAAGTCATCCAATTTCAACTAAGGTGGGCCAAGGTGTTCTAGAGTGGTCCAGTTAGTGTTCGATTACTCCAAGATTGTCCAAAGTGGTCTAGGGTTCTATAAGGTCGGCTTGTATATTTAAAAGAAGTATTTCCTGAAATTCGAGCACTCTTACAATCAATGTCACTTCCTGTCATTAACTTGAGGGATTAACATCAGCATCCAAATTCCCAGAGGGTGGGTCTCTATCAGGGATGGCGGTTCTGCGTGGACCCCTTGGAAGTGGGGGGTAAGGAGGAGGAGAGTTCCTCGGGCCGGGGCCGAGCGAGGGGTGTGTCCCCCTATAAAGACTCCTCACACCGTCGGGCCTTCTGTTGCTGTCTTGTGCCTCTTGGCTCCATCCTTTGTCATCGTCGTCATCTTCTTCACACACTCTCCAGCAGAGTGGGACTCTTACACCACCGAGACCGGTCACTTGGGTGTCTGTCTGCGCTTTGTGTGTGTTCATCACCCCTCTTGATTCCTTCACGTCGGTGGGAAGTCCACACTTGCCCCAGACCATCATGCTGACCCTGGTGGCACTGGCGTCCCTCCTCGTCCTGGCCACAGGTAAAGAAAAAAAAAAACATACTCATACACCTGCACAACGTACTGAAAAGCAAGTATGTGTTGCTATAATCTACATAGTCAGAATTGTTTTAATGAGGTGGAGGGGAGGGGGTAGCAACCTGAAAAAAAATGTAAGGAAAGAGCTACATGTACTGGACAATAGTGACATTGAGTTTGGGTGTGTGGGCGGTGTTATGCAGAAAAAAAACTGCAAACAATAATTTGGTTTTCTTTGCGCGTTGTCTTTTTAAGATAAGTGGAAATACGTGTTTTGCGTTGGACAGTGGTGATTGTGTGTGTGTGTGTGTGTGTGTGTGTGTGTGTGTGTGTGTGTGTGTGTGTGTGTGTGTGTGTTCATGTGGGCACGTGTATCGCCATATCTGAGTTGTTTAGTATTGCAAAATGAAACAATTTTTCCTTCGTCTTCCAAAATAATGGTCGGGACAAAAACTTATTGTGTGTTCTGGTTAAAAAGGGGCAAAAGAATTAAGAAAATTGGACGTGGATTTTTTTTTTTAAGGTGACAATATGCAATGTGGATGTGCATTGATCCGCCCTTTATCTTCATGTTGAAACTTTTTTTTTCATGTTTTAAATACAAAGAAATTAGAAAAATTTTGAAAAAAGAAATGAAAATAATTTTTGTGAATTTCAAATATTTTTCAAAATTGTAAGTTAATTTGACATGTTCATGAATGAAAACAAATGAAGCAATACTAGCTTTGCTTCAGATTCTTTTTTTCTGATAACAAAAACGACAAATTATTTTAAAGTAATTTGATATGTTAGTGTTTCATCTGATATATTTTTAGATTTTAAAAAAAATATCGGTAGTGAGAGAAAAACCTTTTTGTAATCTGTTTTGCAAGATTAGCATTTTCCTTCCGAATTACAATCCATGTTTCATACGTGGTTTTACCTCACCATTTATGTTTTCATGTTTATATCGTGATATTATAATCGCATGTTCAAATGTGCTATGTGCCTCCTCCCACTAGTTATCATGACAGACACGTTGATGCCACCGATCGGTCCACAGCATCTCCTCCTTAACGACCACTAAGCTGCTTAGCGGACGATTAATTGACTCAACTTTAATGAACTCCACTATCGTCGTCATTAATTGACACGTTGCGATCCTTTCGGATGCTATACGACTCTCCACAAAAGCTACAGCACATCGGTATCCCCCCTTTTTTTTTGCCGCACATTATTAAGATGTTACTCCATGCGGTCAGATTTTTTGACAGTCTCATATTTTCCCGGTCGGTGAAATATTGATTTAGTGCTTGAGAGGCAATTAGCATCAATCATCATTCACACGCTATGAGTGACACATTCAATATTTTCCCACTACATTATGCTTTGATTGGGATGATCATGTATAAGATCACCATATGCAATATTTCCACTTTTTGCATGCCCTACTTCCCCCTAGAAGGGTATTTTTTTTTCTTATTTTTTGGGGCTCCCAAGTGTTCCTGTTGACCAAACACAGAATGGTCCTCTGAAGCTGCATTTTCACCTAAACTTTGAGGAATTGTACTTTGAGGCACGAGTAGCTTCTGGACCTTTCAAACGAATCGTATATTCCGCATTATAAGGTGCTTCGTAGTATAAGGCACACCTTCAACGAATGGCCTATTTCAAAACTGTTTTCAAATATAGGGCGCACCGCATTATTGATAAGGCGCATAAGAACAGAAGCTACAATAATGGCTGCATTTGCATTATGCGTCCACTAGATGGAGCTCCGCTAAACGGAACACAATACAATCCCGCTTTATTTATATCGAGCTTTCACAACCGCTGCAGCTGTAACAAAGCGCTTGACAGAACATTTAAAATTCTACGTCCAAGAAATCAGAATATTGATCCATATATAAAGCGCTTTGGATTACAAGGCGGACTGTCGGCTTTTGAGAAAATTGAATGCTTTCAGGTGCACCTTATAGTATGGAAAATACGGTTCAACCCTGCCGCCCCCCAAACAGGGTTATGAAAAAAAAAACACCCGTAAAACTAAATTTAGACAATATCGTATTTCCTGTTGACATGCAATGGTCATCGAAGCTGCATTTTCACCGAAAGATTTCGGAACTTTCAGGTCTCTGTACACCTAGTTGCTGGAACCAAAAACTCAATCATGAGAGTTCCAGGAACCTCCAGGGAGGATGTGAAGTCCTGAACATATCTGATGAGCGACAAGGGTGATTTAGTTGTCGGAAGTACATGTGGCGAAATTTATTGGAATTATTGGGGTGAAAAGTAAACCCTGCTCGGGAGTGGAGTACTTCGGAAAGCTTCAGGAATTTTAGTGCCGTTTGTATCTGCAGCACTGAACATGTCTACCTGAAAACTTTCAGTTCCAGCAA